GTAAGCATAAGCATATATTTTAGCATTAAAAAGAGTTAAAGTTTAGAACTTACTCTTAGTAATTAAAGGTAACCTTATGCTAATACAGCTATAGTTATTCTAGGATTAGGTTATAATGTCTTATGTTTATTACATAGAGCTTAATCTGCTTCTTATAGTGTTAGTAAGTAATTATAATAGTTATAGTATAAAAGATAGAACTTTTTTTAAGTTGTTTTTTATTAAATCTAGTTAGGTAAATTATTTAGGTAAGTAGTGTTAATTAAAGATTTAGTTTATGCGCTAGTTCTTTATTAATATAACCTATACTGTTTACTTCTAAGTTAATAAAAGCTTATATTAAAGCTAATATAGTTTCTTATTATAAATATATAAGAATATTAACTTAGTACTTTTAGTTATTAGTAAGGGACTTAGCCTATAGGTTAGTAAAGATCTAGTGTTAAATTAGTCCTAAGAGGTAACTTAGCTCTAGAACAAGCCTTTTTACAGGCTCCTACTACTATAGCTGCAGCTATGTTAAGAGTAGTAAAGAGGATTAGGGCTTAAATATAAGTTAAAGCCTTTATAAAAATAAGATTAAAATAGTAAAGATCTTTAATAAGTGCTAGCAGCACTACTTGCGTAGACTTAAGAAAGAGAAATAAAGTAGTTTTAAAAAATATAACTATGCTTACTACACTTAAAGTATTAACTTTTTTTTTTATAATCTTTACACTTTCTAAAACTAACTAAAGCATAATTTAAATTAATTTTTATTACATTAGGGTCTTTATTTACAACTGCGCTAGTTTAGGGGTGTATTAAGGCTTATACAGGGAGGAACCTTATGTTATTATTATAGGTAGCAATTAGGTTTACATACGCGTTAAGGTTGTTTAGAAGGGGTTCTTTTACTATAGCGCGTTGCAGTTTAGTTAAGAGGGAGTTATATAAAGCTATAATTAGACTTATCTTATTTAGGCCTATATTAAATGTAAATTAGTAGAACTTAGTAAAGTATAAAGTAAAGCTTTTTTTTTTTTATTATAAAGTGTTTAGGCAACTTAGGGCTGTTAACTTTTTATTTAAGTCTTTATAAGTTACTTATAAAAACACTATAAATTAATCTAGGTTAATAATATTTTTATTTATTAGTAAGTTAATTAAGGCTATTATGTTATAGTTAAGTTAAAAGTAGGTATATAGTAACTAAAAGCGTTTAGAGAGGAATTAGTCTATATTTTCTTTAAGTTTATATTAAAGCTTATGTAGAAAGAAAGGTAGGTCTTTCTATTTTTTATTAAATAGTAAAGGATTAGAGAGTTAGTTAGATTTTATTACTAAGTTAAAAAAGTTATAAGTTATAGGTAGTGTTAAGTAGAAAAAAGTTAAGCTATCTCTAGACTTCTAAGTAAGCTTTAAGGCTAGTAAGTTCTTAGTTCTTACTACTATAATAAAAGTTAAGGCAGAAATAGACTGCTTAATAATATAAAGCTGTTTTTTAAAGTTCTTTTAATAAGCTTTAAAGCTTATAATATAGCAGCTTTTTTATAAAGTAAGCGCTTTTTAAAAGGCTTTTTAGCTTACTATAATAGCTTAGAGTTATATAAGTACTAAGCTTATTAGATTAAATTTAGAGGCTATTCTTAGCTAAGGTTTTAACACAACATAATGTTATAATTATGCATAAGTAAGGTTATAGAGCTTTATAGAGGTCTAGTTTAATTACTATGTAAGGTATTATAGTAGGTACAAGATGTTATGTAAGAAATAGAAAGGTTTAGAAGGAAATTAGTAATTAAATACTTAGCTTAGAAGTCTAAGTGCTTTAAGTATAAATTAAGCCTGTTCTAAGTTTAGTTAGTGTTAAGGCAGTTTATGCTTAAGTTTATGTCTGTGTTGTGTTATGTTTGTGTTAGACGTGCACTAATAATACTCTAGTACGCGTCTAATACAGTTATGTCTGGGATCCGGGGAGGATACCGTGACAATAGCTTTTAAAATAACAACATATATAACTTTAATAAAATAGACTTTATAATAAGCTAAATATTTACTAACTATACTTATACTTAAAACTTTACTTTAAGCTTTAGATAACACTTTATAAACATACTAAGCTAGTTTATGCTAATATAGCTTAGATTATACTTAGTGTGTAAAAGATTAGCTATATTAGCTATAGCTACTAGCTAAAAGAAAAAATTTTATATATATAGCTTAAGTATATGCTTAATAATTACTTACTTTTTATTATTACTTAGCTTTTATAAGTTAGCTGTAGAATTACCTTATAAAAGTTATTTAGTATATTAGTTATTTATTATTTTTTAAAAAACCTTATATGTAGCTGCAGCATGTTGCTTTAAAAGTATTATGTTTTATTTAAAAGCTTAGAGCATACACTATATTTAATGTTTTTTAGCATGTCTAAGTAGTGTTATTAGGAATGCATTAGTGTAAGAAGAGTAGTTTAGTAGAGTCTTAGTAAAATTAAGTAACTTAAGTGTGTAAGCAACTTGCTTGTAAAGTATATTATATTATATTTAAAAGTCTAAAGTGTAAGCTATATCTAATGTTCTTTTAGCACGTCTAAGTAGTGTTGTTAGGGATGCATTAGTGTAAGAAGAGTAGTTTACTAGAGTCTTAGCAAAAGTAAGCAACTTAGGTGTGCAAGCAACTTGCCTGTAAAGTACGTTATATGTTTCTAATATAGGTATTGTATTAGTAATTAACATTTAATTAGTCTAAAAGATCTTAGATGTTTTTAGATGTTTTAATTAGCTTAAAAGTTTAGAAGTTTTGTTTAATCTAAAACAGTATTAGCGTAAAATCATCTATAGAGCGGCTAACTTAGAGGATAAGGTAAAGAGCGTGTCTCACGTAATAGTATTTCTTAGGCAATAGTAACACTATGTTATAGTATCTTCTGTTACGTTACCTAATAATTTCACCTATTTTAAGCTTTTAACGCCTTAGGGCTAACTATTGCTTTCCCTCAAGCTCCTCAGACTAGACTAAAAACCACAACACTAACGTATCTATATGCTTGGTTCAATACCCATAGTTTGGATGCTAATTAGCCTCTATCAGCTGATGTCCAATAGAACCTAGACATGGAGGGAGGAATCTGCGTAGATAGTTATCGGCAGCAGATGCTAGCACGTGGGTGAAGTGATTCAGCGATACCTGGAACTCTATTCAAACACAACAGTCCTCAACCTTGCTACACTCAATAACGCAATTCCTCCGCCGCGAACCTCGCAGCCACTAATCCATTTCACTTTAGACCTTTGGTAGCCCATTTCGGAAACTGTGCATGCTGGTCCATCTGGACCTGTGCTGCCCTAACTCTTGTCCTCACCCACTCTCCAGCTGTCACACCCACGTCCTCGTCCTCACTGTTTAGCTTCGATATCATCGCACTACCCTCCAGGCTCTTCATCAAGCACTGATCCTCTGGCCTCGTAAAATAGGCAAGCGAGTAGCGCGTTAAGTTTGCCTGCTCTCCGGGGGCATACATCACCCGATGCATTGGGCTTTTAAGCAATCCATTCGTGAACTTCACCATAGCATCACCCAGATTGATGATCGCACAGCCAGGCCTGGGCCTGACCCAGAGCCAATTTTCCTCTTCAGCAGCTTTTCCCTCAGGAAGAACTTGCAGACCGCCGAGAATGTTGAACAGGATGGTCACACTGCCGTAATCAGTGTGCGAGACCAGGCTAGTGCGACGATCTCCTTCCGGCTGGGGTAGATAACAGATTTGACGGCTTTGGTCTGAGGAAGGTTGTTCTATCCGGTGACAGGCACGGAAAGTACCCCTGGAAAGGCCGAGTTGAGTCTCTAGACAGTCAAGGATGGTCATGGACAGAGAGTGACAGCTCCGAGCGAGATTCGCATATAGGCTGCGGTGACCACTGACGACTTCTGGTGCTGGAAGGGCAGGTACAATACCCAAAACATCGTCTTTACTCATGCACCAAAACTCGCAGCGATCTGGAGTACCTTTTGCATCGATCCTCCCGATTCCCGCTCCTTTGTATCTGGAGTACTATAGTCAGTCAGGTACGTAGGATTGTGGATGGATGCGAGTGTACCCAAGAACAGTCCCATTAAGCATTGAGTGTCTCAGCTTTTCTTCCATACCCAGCTCGAAGATTCTTTCTCCCAATTGAAACACATCATCAACTTGTTTAATCAAACCAAGGCCTTCCTGGGAAGATTGTAGCTCAAGAAGAAAGACGCCGGTAGATATGCAAGTGTTGAAAAGCCTCTTCGTTTCGTCCTCATCTTCAGCCACGAGTTTCGACAACGACAGCGTTGGAAGCTGTATGGTAGGAAGGTTAGATGGGAAGTCCGGAAAAGGAGCAGGTGAACTGAAAGCCATTTTGCAAGACCAAATAGGCCACAAGGATTGGTGAAGCAGAAGCTTTAGCTCACGTCCGGTGAGGAAAAGGATGGGGGAGTATATGAATGGTATCTGAGGAGGAGCAGCGATATCTAACCTCTGAGTGTTAATCGAACTATTTCTGCACCATTTTAATCAAATATTTTGTTGCATTTTTCCACGCCACCGCCGTACGTTACTGCGCCCAAAGATAGGTGGAGATGCGTCTGTGAAGTAATGTTAACCTCGCCGCATGAGTACAGGGCTTCAATACCAATCCCTGCCTCTAGGATGCAGCCTCTCAAGTTAGCGTCGCAGACATGGATCTGTGGTTCTATCGAAGGAACTGGGGTTTTCTGTTGCGACCATCGGAACTTACTTAAAAAGAACAATCCTCCGCTCTCCGGTGGCGGCCACGGTGTCTTACAAATAGCGGCTCAGAGATATGTGAGAGACACTTCCACTGTTGCCTAGAGATTTTTACGTACTCGAGTTTGCAGAATTCTCGGATTAGCTTAAATCTTTTCCAATTATACTGCCGCTGAACATGTTCAAAACTAGGGCCAACACTTTGCCACATCAACCCCTAATTGGTGAAGACATCAATTAAGGTCCCGCAATCTCCGGGATGGCGGTCTCCTCAATAGTCACAGCATTTTTGTGTGTGGCTATTCAATTGTATATTCGTACTTGTATGACAAAGAACCTCTGGTGGGACAATGGACTTCTGGTGGCGGGCACTGTACAGCTTTCGAATTCCTAATGCTCCAAGACAAATGACTCTGCTAACAATCCCATAGCTGTTTTCCATTGTCAGAGTCACTTTCAATCTCATCATGGTCTCTCACGGGGCTGGACGCCACCGATACTACCTCACAAGAGAGCAAGCAGCCAAAGTTTTACAGTACAACACCCCTTTCGCAGCCATGAATATTCTATGTGTCTGCCTTGTCAAGACCTTGATTCTGCTATTATTTATAAAGTGCAGAATTCAAAAAGAGTCACCCGTTTCATTTACGTGCTACTGGCGTTGACAATCTCCATGAGGCTTGGTACTCCAATCTTCATTTGGCCCCAATGCATACCATTTAATGCACTATGGAATCCACGTGCGACAGGCAAATGCATATCAAGGAAAGTATATGGAAGGGTCAGCGTCTTCCAAGGAGGTAAAATTACCCATGGCTCTCTAAAATATATGCGTGAACCCTCTGGCTAACATGGAGCAGTGATATACAGCGCCCTAGATCTTCTAATAACGTCTCTACTCGTCATAATCCTATGGAGAGTTCAAATGAAGAAGCAGGTCAAGGTCGGAATCTGCTTCCTGCTGAGCCTGGGTCTTGGAGCTACTGCGTTTAACATCATGCGAGTAGTCTTCCACAAGCAGCTTGCAGCCGCAGACTTCACTTGTAAGCATAGATCAATGTGAACAACGTCCAGATAACTAACAGTCAAGCAGTCGACCTCTTGGGGTGTCGACATATCCTCTCAACTCGAACAAAATATCTGCATCATCGCTGCAGCTGTCCCAACATTCCCACATTTGTTCCGAAATTGGGCTCATGATATTCCTGATAAAATTTCCAGCAATACTCCAAAAAGTCGTCAACTCTTAGACTTCGCTCAATTTCGAAAGGAGCCAGGCCAGGTCTAGCAAAAAGCACCGATACGACGACATCACAGAGCTGAGCCGTATTACAGTTCACCACGACATTGAGCAGCGCAGTAGCCAAGTGGAGGTTGCCGCTAGTCAAGGCTACTGGGATCAGGACCCAGGGTCTAATGCAGAGACCTTTTATACGCCCTCAAGGAAACACAAGGGCCAAGAGGTGGTTTGAAATTTGGACATTCAGCCCTAGTCGATAAAGTAGCTTTAAATTTATGAAGTGATAAAATCATAACATAGAAAGAAGCGGGTTTGTTCTTTTGTAAACAACTTTACTTTCTAGAGGTCGTAGTTTCTGTGCAAAACATATCGCAGGGTTAGAGCCAAAGGATGGTGGAGAGCACGGAGCAGTTAATTAGGTAGTGAGAGACGACATAGGTATATTAAGTTGAGGTGTAAGGTCTCTAGAGCTTGAGAGAGCTTAGAGGTAAATATATAGTAGCTAAAAGATCGCTAGTCCTAAACAGGAAAAGTGTAAGAGGTGAAGAACCTACATTTACCTTGCGCTAGATCACGTGAACTAGTTTCACGTGTAACACCCCCCCTAGCTTTAACAAAGTACTTACTAAAGCAAATCTACACAAACTAGTTAACTAGTAAAAAAAAGTGTAGTAGTTAGATTAAAAAAGTAAAAATTATATAAAAGTAAGTCTACTAATGTTTTAGTTTAGATATAACGTTAGACTAATAATTAACTTAAACATGCCTTAGACTCTCTCTAGAGAGCCCTTAGCCTAGCCTTAGGCATATAACGCTGTCACGTGCTCTAGTATATATATATATTCTCTTATAAACTTTAAAGTCTTTTTAAGAATTTATCTATTAATACTATTCTTTACTCTTTTTTATACTATATGCTTTTAACTTTATATCGCTTTTATAATTTAGCTTCTTTATAAAAACATCTTTAGTTTAAAAAATAAAAAATAACTTTTACTACTACTTTTTAATCTCTACTTTAATTAAATAGCTATAAAAATAATAGCTAGTAGTAGTTACATATATAAAAGTAAATCTATAGCTACTATCTTTTCTATAACTATTTTAGAGACGCTTTATAATACTTTTAAAACTTAACTTCTTAAGCGCGTTACATTCTAGCCTCTTAACTAAATTCTACTAAACATTATAAAAAAACTAGATTAGGTTATGTCTTTAGATTCTTTAAAATTAATTAATATATTACTTTAAAAGAATTAAGCCTTTTTTATATAAAAGTAAAAACTCTTACTTTACTATTATTAAATAGAAAACAGACTACTACTTTATGCTAACTATTTATATGTTCTAGTAGACTTACTGCTGTGTACCTAACTTATCTAAAAAGTCTAGAATTAAGTATCTTTAGCACACCTTAGTGCTACTAAGACCTATTAGTTACTATTCTAAAAGTACTACTAACAAAGTATAAAAGCTACTTATAAATAATAGGTATAGAATTACCTTCTTTATTATAAAGCTTATCTAAAATAAGCCTAAACTCTAGAGTTTATCTACTTTTTTTTAATCCTTAATTAACTAATGCAGCACTTATGTATTAATTTTAAAAAATTTTTAAAAATAAGTCTAGTTAACATACCTAACAGGTTAGCTAGCCACTTTTGCTAAGCCCCTACTAAACTCTACCTATCTACGTAATGCCTTAACAACAACACTAGATTAAATCTTCTAAAGAATATTAAATACAGCTTACTTTTTAGGCTCTTAAATAAAACTTAAAACTTTTCTTATAACACACTACAGCTATTTATAATGTCTTTTACACAACACTAAGCAATTAACGCGCTAGACAGCCTTTATAAGCAGAATGCTAGCCTAAATTAAGGAATCTAACTAAGCTTAAAAAGAAGGTAGTTGTTAAGTACATACTTAAGCTTATTACGCGCAGATTTCCTTTTAGGCTTACAGCTATAGCTAATATAGCTAATTCCTTACCTACAGAGCGCAATCTAGGCTAGGTTAGCTTAAACTAGACTAGTATATAAGTTAAGCACTGCCCTAAGTTTATAATAAAGTTTAATTATAAGTATAATTATAAAAGAGCACTTTATAAGAATCTAGAGGTTATCTAAGGCTAGTTTTGCCTAGTAGCTAACATAAAAGCTAAGTATAGTATCTAGAATAAAGATAGGTATAACTTTAACAAGTTAAGCTTTATAATAAGCTAGATATTAACTAAAGCAGTTATTATAGCTTTAAAGAGATAAAAACAGCTAAAGGCAATATAGTAAAGTAATAAAAAGTAGACAATAATTATCTAAGGCATTAACATAATAAAGTAGGCTATAAGATTATAAAGCTTTAAGCAGTAAATAAAGCTGCTACATAACATAGATTACATAAAAGAAAGTAGATTTAGGCAAAAAAAACTTTAATAGTTAAGAATAAAGCTTATTTAACTGCTCTAAAGGAGTTTAGAGCGCGTAGTAATAAAAAGAAGCTAAAGACATAGGTGCGCGCTAAAGAAAGTAAGCTAAGTTAAAGGTAATATAAGCAGTGCAATTAGACTAGGCATAACTTATGTACATGTAAGTAAGTAGTAAAAGTAGACTCTAAATAATATCTTGTGTTGTATTACTTTATATAGGGCTAAAGTGGGCTGTTTTGCAAGAGAATAGGGTGGTTTTAGTGGGGGCTTGGCAAAAGTGGCCGGCTAACCTGTGTGGCCGGCCACTTTTGCTAAGCCCCTACTAAACTCTACCTATCTACATAATGCCTTAACAACAACACTAGATTAAATCTTCTAAAGAACATTAGATACAGCTTGCTCTTTAGGCTTTTAAATAAGACTTAAAACTCTTCTTACAACATGCTGCAGCTATCTATAATGTCTCTTACACAACACAAAGCAATTAACGCGCTGGACAGCCTTTATAAGCAGAATGCTGGCCTAAATTAAGGAATCTAACTAAGCTTAAGAAGAAGGTAGTTGTTAAGTACATACTTAAGCTTATTACGCGCAGATTTCCCCCTAGGCTTACAGCTGTAGCTAATATAGCTAATTCCTTGCCTGCTGTCACGATTGTGCACGAGTAAGGTTATAGAGCTTCACAGAGGTCTAGTTTAATTACTACGTAAGGTATTATAGTAGGTACAAGACGTTGTGTAAGGAACAGGAAGGTTTAGAAGGAAATTAGTAATTAAATACTTAGCTTAAAAGTCTAAGCACTTTAAGTATAAATTAAGCCTATTTTAGGTTTAGTTAGTGTTAAAGTAGTTTATACTTAAGTTTATGTCTATGTTATGTTATGTTTATGTTAGACGTGCACTAATAATACTCTAGTACATGTCTAATATAGTTATGTCTAGAATCTAGGGAGGATACTGTAACAGTACCCCCCCTCTTATTAGGAAGGGAATTCTTTACATTAGTAGTTCTAGCATTAAGTTGTTTTTGTTAGGGTACAGGTTTAGTTTAGATAGGTATTAGGCGTAGAATTAGGTTACTATAGAGTTCTTTTATAGAGCTTTTGCAAGTTTCTATAACAGTTTGTTATATCTAGTTTATTTTATAAAGTATTTATAAATATATTTTTTCTTGTTAAACTAGATTTATTTAACATCTTCTATAATATATTCTAGTTTGTTATTTATAATAATAGGTTTAAGTAGCAGGTTTAGCTATTTAGGTAGATAGTTAGATTTAGGGGCTGCTTAGCGCAGCAATAATACATAGAACACAGGGTGTATCTTTATGCTGTTAGGTAGGATTAATTAGTAAGCATGTAATAAGACTATATAAGCTACTATAAAGAGGCTAAGGTTCTTCTAATTAAGTTTTTGTCTGTACGCAGCAGCAGCGTCGCGGCCTGGATACGAGCGATCGCGCACGAGCAGGATCACGTACCTATGTCACATGATGCTCGTGCGCGAACCTCTGTGCGCGAACATCTAGATATCCCCCTTTTCCTCTGTACAGAGGAAAGAAAAGAGTAATAGAACTAGAAACACATTGCCCTTACCTTACTTACCTTGTACACTGTGCACACTATACACTACTCTTACTCTTACTACTTAAGTGCTTATACTATAAGCAGCTAGCTGTTAGAGCCTATTTAACACTAATTAGTAGTTAATTTAATTAACTATAAATTAATAAAAGTAATAATAAAGTACTTACACTTTATAAAGTACTTTATTTTATTACTTATTCTTTAAGAAGAGTAACAGTAGAGTACTTACACTTTATAAAGTACTTTATTTAGTTACTTATCTCTTAAAATAGTAAATTAATTCTTTGCATTATACAGTAAGCTCTGCTACTATATAAAGTAAAAAAAAGATAGTGTAAAATGCACACTAAAGCTACTAAAGCTGCACAACCTAGTAGCTAGATAATAGCACATTAATCCTTTACATTATACAGCAAGCTCTGCTACTATATAAAGTAAAGAGGAGATAGTATAAGGCGCACACTAAAGCTATTAAAGCTGCATAACCTAGCAGCTAGACAACAGCAGTACCTGCGTAATCTACTAGAAAAGTAATTAACTATACTATTATAATAAAATTTTATTAGTAACTAATAACTTTACATAATAATAAAAAAAATAAGAAATAATTCTTATTATATAAACAACTTATAAAGGACATAGAGATATTAGAGGTAACACTACAGAATAAGACTAGCCTAGAGTACTAGAATAATAAGATTAACATATTAAAGGCTCTAATAAGCCTATAGACTTAATTATACATAAGTTACATAATTACTAATTTATATATAATAACTTAGAAGAGCGCTACCTTTCTAAGTGTATATATAAAAGATTTTAAAAAATAGACACTATAAAACTTCTTAGCACTTAGCTACATGTTTAAAAGAGAGCTTATATAAGTGTTAAAAAATAAAAAAATTACACTATAGCTAGGCACTAAAGGTACCTAAGCCTAAAAGCTGTATAATATAGCATAAAAGAAAGTAATTGCACTAGAAAAGCTTTATACATAACCTTTATTACTATATAAGGCTCTACATAGAAGTAGACTAAACATAATGCTGCTATTAACACTAAATGTACTAGCATTACCTGCTTCTGCACCTTAGCTAGCACTACACTAATCACTGTATAAACAATACATGCTACCCTACCTAACGCCTGCTCCACACCCTTAATTGTACACACCACCGCCTGCAGTAGTGTATGCACTACTAATACTACCTACATAATCTATACTACATTACAACTTATACAAACTTCTACCCTAGAGAGAAACTGCTAAAGAAAAACTTCTAGCAAATAAAATTATATAATTTTAAAAAGCATAAAAAAAAATAATAACTACATAAGTTAACTATATAATATCTTTATAAATAAAATAAGGATTTTTATTAATTTATGTTAATAGCTAGATATCT